GAGTAGATTCCCCATCTTTCTCCCATAGATCAGCCGGTGGATTTGAAACATGTACCTTCAGGATAGCAGCAGTTTCTTGTCACTATGCCACTGGAGCTCCAAGACTAATTATTGTTGTTATGTGCCATCAAGTCACAGCTACCTAAGCCCTACACCCTGCTCTATCCTGTGCCAACCTCACTGTCTCTAACACACCTACTCCCATTATTCCAATCATTCAATCGATCCATCTCATTGAGGGTCTTCCTCTCTTGTGCTGTCCCTCCACTATCCCAAACATGAAGTCCCTCTCCAAGGAATGGTCCTTCCTTGCAACATGACCGAAGTATGTCAGACAAGCTTCAGAATCCTTACCTCCAAGGAGCAGCACAGTTTCACCCTCTCCAGGATGAACTTGTTAATTCTCCTAGTAGTCCATGGTATATTCAACACTCTTCTCCAGCACCAAAGAGCAAAGACATCAATGCTCTATCATCCCTAGTCACTGTCCAGCTCTCCGACACATAGCACGCAATTGCTAAGACAATGGCATGGATAAGGAGCACCTTAGTATCCAGCCTGACATCGTTGCTCTTCAGTACTCTGGATAAGTCCCTGACAGCTGACTCTCCCAGTGCAATTCATCTCTTGATTTCCTGGCTGCTGGTACCAAGAATGTTGACTGTGGAGCCAAGCAAACTAAAACTGTTACCTATCTAAATCTCTTCACTATCCATAGTGATGTTGCCAATTGGCCCAGTGATGAGAATATTTTATTGATGTTGAGCTTCAATCTATATTGAAGGCTGCGGTCCTCGACCTTCGGCAGCAAGTGCCTCAGGTCCTTCTCAGTTTCAGCAAGCAGGGTTGTGTCATCAGCATAATGCCAAGTTGTTGATGAATCATCCACCAAACCTGGTGTCACATTCCTCCTCGTACAGCCCAGTATCTGATGATCTGTTCTGCATACAGATTGAAAAGGTATGGAGACAGAATACATCCCTGGTGGACACCCTTCCCTATTTTGAAACATGCAGTCTCTCTTGCCTCTTGGTTCAAGTATAGGTTTCACATAAGCACAATCAAATGTTCTGTGATGCTCGAGTCAGCCACATCTTGTTGTGATCCACAGTCAAAAGTCTTTGCACAGTTAATGAAGCACAGACATTCTTCTGGTATTCTCTGCTTTCTGCCAAGATCCATCTAACATTTGCTATAATATCCCTAGTACCACAACCTCTTCTACACCCAGCCTGCACATCTGGAAGTTCTCTGTTGACGTGCTGCTCCAGTTGTTTTTGGATAATTCTCAGCAGAATCTTGCTTGCATATGGTATTGATATCGTTCAATAATTTCCACTGTCAGGCCACCTTTCTTTGGAATGGGAATAAATACTAGCTTTGCTAATTATGTACCCACTGCCACCCAGACTTTGCCAATAAGCCTAGAACCTAAAGTACTTAAGCTCCATGAGTCAGTGAAACTAGTTTCTTGACAAATGTACTAAGGCAACCTCTCCACTGTCAAATATATACTCAGCTTTCTTGCCCCATGTAGTACTGGGAGCCCACAGCTCTATTTCATATTGGTCTACTGGTATCTGCCACCTCTGTTGTTGCCATCTCATCCAGTGTTGTACCATTTCTCTGGTGTTACAACCATGTCTCATTTGTGCTAAGATCTCAGGTCCAAAGTACTGTCTGCATTTTTTTTCTTGATGGAAGTAAAATTTCTTGGCATATATTACCTAGTGAGCATGTCCAGGGTACGTCTGTTTCCTGAAATATCTCAACCGGTATTCCACCAATTCCTGAGGCCTTATGTTTTGCCAATGCCCTTAGTGCAGCATAAATGTCTTCCTTCATTATTAGTTAATATGCTATTTCCTGAAATCATTCAGTGTTGACCATCTGTTTTTGGTACAGTTACTCCGAGGCATGTGATACAGAAGGTCAAGGACTGTAGTTTTCAATGTGGACTGAAGCTCAATATCAGGTAAACACAGGTTTTCACCACTGGGCAATTGGCAGCTTTATGACTGATGGAAAAGAGATTGAGATTGTTGCTAACTTCATCTTGCTCGGTTCCACAGTCAACACTCTTGGCACTAGCAGTGAGGAAATCAAAAGATGAAATTTCACTGGAAAAGTCTGCTGTTAGAGACCTCTCTATATAGTACTGAAGAGTAACACTGTCTAGAGACTAAGGTGCACCTGACTCAGGCCATGGTCTTCGCAATTACTTGCTATGCATCCTAGAGCTGGACAATAACTAAGGATGATAGAAGGATCGATGCCTTTGAGTTTTGGTGCTGGAGAAGAGTGTTGAACATACTGTGGACTGCCAGGAGAACAAATAGGTCTGTTGTGGAGAAGGTGAAACCAAGTTCCTCCATGGAGTTAAGGATTTGAAACTCTGTCTCATAGACTTTGTAAATGTGGCCAGTAGGTACTAGTCCTTAGAGAAGGACATCATACTAGGAAAGGTGGAGGGATAGCACAGGATAGGAGGACCCAGGATGAGACTGACTGACTCAGTGAATAGAGAAATAGGAGTAGGTTTATCAGAGACAATGAGATTGGTTCAGAATAGGGCAGGTTTCAGAGCTAATGTACACTGGGTCGCTATGTGTTGCAGGTGACTTGACTGCACATAACAACAGCAACAACTCTGTGTATTCCTTCCATCTTCTTTTGATGCTTTGTGTATCATTCAATTTTGAGTCTATGGAATACTCAGCTTGATTCTTGAATTTGTTCTTCAGTTGTTTCTGCTTGAGATATGTTAATAATTTTTCCTTTTGGTTTTCTAATCTACATCTTTGCATATTTCATTGTATCTTGCTTTGTTTTCTTGAACTGTCCTTTGAAATCTTCTGTTCAGCCTTGTGATATAATTTCTTCCTTTTGTTTTTGGTTCTTTATATTAAAGAACAAGTTCAATAGTTTCTTCTGACAGGTATTTTCTTCTTTTCTCTTTAATAATCTTATGCTTTCTTCATGGATGATGTCCTTGATGTTATCTCACAAGTCATCTGGTCTCTTGCCATTAATGTTAAATGCATCGGATCTCTTCTTGAGATGGTTTTTAAATTCAGGTGGGATAAATTAAAAATCACACTTTACTCTCATGGACACGTTTTCATTTTCTTCAGTTTCAATTTGAACTTCCATATGAATAATTGATGGTTTGTTCCAGAGGCAGCCCCAAGCCATGTTTTAACTGCTGATACTATACTTCTCTACCACTACTTTCCACATATGTAGTTAATCTGATTCCTGCGTAGTCCATAAAGTTAAGTTCATGTGTATAATAACCATTTACAATTTTTTAAAAAACCATTTGCATACTTCATAAGACCACCACTATGAAAACAAGAGGGTAACTCGGGCATGGAGGAATGCATAGGGCAGAAGTAGAATGCTCTGACAATGAACACTGTAAAGGATCTGGATAGGGGAGGATTAACCTTGGAAGAAGTGATGAAAGGACAATATGGCTACTGCAATTAGCAAGAGAGAACAATATATGTACAGGGAAGTCCCTCTTTGTTACTATGAAATCTTTTTATATACCTTGAATTTTTAAACAACAGGCTTTAAAGGGTTGGTTCATAGCTAGGGGATGTACATAAATCAGATGTTCATAACCTAGGGATTGGCTATATTTTCTTAATCTTTATTTGGAGTAATTTTCTTATTTGATAATTATAATTTTTCTTATATTGACTATCTTAAATATTTTTTTCTGAGTCTTAAATCTTAACCTTTTATTAGCTGTTGGAATATACGATTTATTTTTTAAAAGAACATATGTATACTTTAAATCTTTTATTGTGATAAAGAGAACTATTCAGTGTAGAAATAAAATATTTTATATTTTGCTGCTAAAAATTTTGTTAGTCACTACAGAAATTAGGCTAAGAACTTTCAAAAACTTTCTCCCTTGAGTTAGAACATCAAAGTATTTATAACATCAAGGTATTTAGCACTCACTTACTTCCTCTGAGTCTGTTCTAAAGCACACTGGTCCTCCTTCAGATTTTTGAGACTGTAAAATCTTAACAAGATGAGACTTCTCTTATGGACTTCTATTGGGGGGTTTGAACTGGTGTAGATGGGCAGCCTTTGATTAGCAGCACATGCTACAGATTATAGCACTAGAGCTCCTTTTTAATAAATAGAGTCTGTATTATCTTCCTTGGAATATACTGGCTATTACTGAAATATACTGATGTATTAGAAAATTTACCTACTCTTATTTGTGCGCACTCATGCATCATAAATCTTTTAGAGAAAAAAAAAGCACACAGATTATAGTCTAATCTTCCTTTATTATCATTATAGAATTTGAAAACATTTTCAAAGGGAAATTTTTATTCTAAGATATTAGATTTTAATGTTTAAGGATAAGAGATTAGGAGATAAGCCATATTATATCTTTTTTTCTCCAGTTCTTAAGTTTATTATTCAGCTCTAAGTTTATAGTAAGTCTCATTAAACTAATTATAAAAATTTTTAATGATTAGATCTAGCATTTTTGCACATACAGTCAATACTATACATGACAATTCTTGGTGCTGGCTTAGGAAGTTATTGTAGAAGAAAGCTTATTCATGTCTATATATCTAAGTGATAATATCTCCTGATACACTTTTAAAGAAATTGTAAGTATATGATTTGAAAAAATAGAAGGACAGGCTTATTACAAGAACAACTTTAAAAAGAATTTTGATGTTTTTGATTTCAACATCAAAGAGTAATTTTTCATCACTAAGTAAAAAAAAGGATTTTAAACAAAAAGAAATAACATATGCTGTTTACAAAATGTCTTATAAAAGTGAGTTTAAGTGGAAAGAAACCCATAAACTGATTTTAAGAATAAAAATCCTTGAAAAAAGCCTAAGCTTCACTGCAGATTTGGCATTAAAAATATACTGATAGTAATAACATACTATCAAAATGTATACAAATGGCAGACATGTAATTTGTATATTTAGTAAATGAAATAAATCTATCTTTTAATCTCCTCATGAACTACTTCCAATGTCAATATTAATGAAGTCTTTAATTTTATCATATAATACAAGCACTAAAGCACCTCCTGTACCACGAAGAATATTGGAAAAGGCACCACGAAAAAATGCTTTGAATCCCTCATGTTTGTATATCTTCAGAAAACAATCCAACGTTCCTCTATATTGCCGTTCAGACTCACCACTCTATTAAATAAAAAGAAGAGTTTTAAAAATATTAGTTATATTAGTAAATTTTATCTTAAGATATTTTTATTCAGAATGAAGGAAAGTAAAAGTTTAATATTATACTAAGTAAGTATGTGAGTTAACGGATACATCATTAATAGTTTACCTAATGGTGATAGAGTATATTTCTCATTTTCAAGCACATTTAAGAATTGAACACACTCTGAGCTTAACAAATTTTAAAGGATAGAGATCTTTTTACAGAGAACTCTTCAAGTCAATTGGCCAGGTAGTTGTCCTCCAGATTTCTTGGCATAACTTGGGGAGCACATCCAAAGCAGCATCTTTTTGTTGAAATATGTCAACTGGTATGCTGTCAATTCCTGGGGCCTTGTTTTACTTTTCCAATTCTTTCAGAGCAGCTTGAAATTCTTCCTTCACTACAATAGGCTCTTGTTAATATGTTGTTTCTTGGAATTCTTCTGTGTCTTTTTGGTACAATGACTCTGTATACTCTTTTCCATCTTCTTTTAATGCTTCCTGGATCATTAAATATTCTGCCCAAAGCATCCTTAAGTACTGCAACTCAAGCTTGAATTTGTTCTTCAGTTCCTTCAGCTTAAGAAATGCTGAGTGTTTGGCTCCTTTTGTTTTTTGACTGCAGCTCTTTGCACATTTCATTATAATACTTTATAATGTCTTCCCAAGCTGCCCTTTGAAATCTTCTGTTCAGCTCATTAATATCTTGATTTATCCTTTTGCTTTGGCTTTTCAGCACTCTGTACAATATTCAAAATATCTTTTGATATCCATCTTGGGCTTTTCTTCCTCCTGTTTTTGTAATGACCCCTGCATTTTTCCTGGATGATATAACCCCTCCCCCAACTAGTTTATTTACAAAATTAGAATACATTGTTTTCAAAAACAAATTCTTTCAATTTCCCTCAACCCCCACCCATCAAATTGTACAACCCCATGATTAAGCTCCTCCTCCCCCTGCACATCCTCATTCCTCTGATTCCAACCTCTCCCATCCCTCTTGGATCCTTATACTAGTATTTATCCTTGTGGGACTGAAGTAGTTCACTAAGCATAACGCTCTCCAGTCCCTCCCAAGTTAGATAATAAATTACAAAATCACTGCTCCTGTGAGCTGCATAGTATTCCACTGTGTGAATGTACCATACTTTCTCAATCCAATTTTTTTTTTTGGTCGTTGGACATTTGGGCTGTTTCCATGTATTTGCTATGGTGAATAATGCTGCTATGAACATTGGTATACAAATCTCAGTTTGTGCCTCAGTTCACATCTTCTCAGGGTATATTCCAAGTAGTGGAATAGCTGGATACTTGGGAGTGAACCTAACTAGTGATAAAAAAAAGACCTATACAAAGAAAAAGACAGAGCATTCTGCAAGACACAATAAAAGACCTAAAGAAATGGAAAAATGTGCCCTGCTCATGGATAGAAAGACTCAATATTGTGAAAATGACAATCCTATCAAAAGCAATCTACATGTTCAATGCAATCCCAATCCAGATACCGAATTAATTTTTCACGGAGACTGAAAGGGAAATTATCAAGTTTATGTGGAGAGGCAAGAGACTCCGAAAAAGCAAACACTTCTGAGAAAAAAAGTGAGGTTGGAGGCATAGCACCCCCTGAGCTCAAAACCTACTACACATCAGTAGTAACCAAAACGGCATTGTACTAGTACAATGACAGGCACACAGACCAATGGAACAGAATGGAGAACCCAGAAATAGGCCTAGCTATTTATAGTCAACTTATATTTGACAAAGAAATCAAAGCTATCAAATGGGGAAATGACAAACTCTTCAACAAATGATCTGGCAAAACTGTACTTCCACCTGCAGAAAGCTGAAACAGGATCCACATCTCACACCATACACAAAAATCAACTCAAGGTGAATCAGGGACCTGAAAGTAAAGCCCAAAACCATAATGTACATAAGAGACAACCTGGGATCAAGCTTAGAAGCGCTAGTCTAATGTATAAAGAGACTGCCAAATACAACCAGAAATGAACAATCTGAAGATGATAAAATTGATGCATGGGACCTTCTAAAGATTAAATCCATGTGTGTATCAAAACCTTTTTCCAACAGGCTGGATGATATTCTTGATATCCTCTCACAGCTCATCTGGTATTCGCTCATTAATGTTCAAGGCCTCAGACCTGTTCCTGAGATGGTTTTGAAATTCAGGTGAGTAGACTCAAGGGCAAATTTTGTTTCTGTTTATTTGGTTTCATTTTCCTTAGCTTCAGCTTGAACTTGCATATGAGTAGTTGCATATGAGTAGGTGGCCTGTTCCACAATCAGCACTTAGTTTAGCTTTCACAGCTGATCTTAAGCTTCTCCAGCTATTTGGAAGAGACCTATATTTGTTCCCATTCCAAAGAAAGGAAATTATCCAAATTATTCCAAAGAGTGCAGAAATTATCAAACAATCTCATTAATAGCACATGCAAGCAAGATTCTACTGAAAATAATCCAAACATGATTGGCACAGCACATCAAAGGAGAACTGCAAGAAATGTAAGCTAGGTTTAGAAGAGGCTGTGATACTAGGGATATCATAGCTAGTATTAGATGGATCTTGGCTCAAAGCACAGAGTATCTGTGTTTCATTGCCTATGCAAAGGTATTTGACTCTGTGGATCACAACAAACTGTGGCTAACTCTGAGAAGAATGGAAATCCCAGAACACTTGATCGTGCCTATGCAAAACCTATACTTGAACCAGGAGGCAGTCATCAGAACAGAGCAAGGAAACACTGTATTGTTCAAAATTGGGGAGGGTGTATGCCAGGGATTTGTCCTATCTCCATACCTTCTCAATCGGTATGCAGAACAGATTATCTGGAGGCTGGGCTCTATGAGGAGAAATGTGGCATCAAGATTGGAGGAAAACTCATCAACAATCTGCATTATGCAGATGACAAAAGCCTGCTTGCTAAAACTGAGGAGGACCTGAAGTGCTTGCTGCAGAAGGTCAATGACTGCAGCCTTCAATATGGATGAAGCTCAACATCAAGAAAACAAAGATTCTCACCAGTGGGCTAATTAGCAGCAACATGACAGGTGATGAAGAGATTGAGATTGTTAACAGCTTCAGTTTGCTTGGCTCTGCAATCAACACTCTTGGTACCAGGAGACAGTAAATTAAAAGACTAACTGCACTGGGAAAGTGCTGTCAGAGATCTCTCCAAAATACTGAAGAGTAATGATGGCAATCTGGAGACTAAAGTGCACCTGATCCAGGCCTTAGTCTTGCAATCACTTGCGATGCATCAGAAAGCCGGGGAATGAATACAGATGATAGAAGGAGAATTGATGCCTTTGAGCTGTGGTGCTGAAGAAGAGTATTGGATATACTACGGACTGCTAGAAAACAAAAAAGGTCATCCTAGAGAGGGTGAAGCCAGGCTGCTCCATGGAGGCCAGGATTCTGAAGCTTTGTCTGATATACTTTGGACATGTTGCCAGGAGGAACCAATCCTTGGAGAGCGACATTATGTCTGGGAGGGTGGAAGGACAGCACAAGAGAGGAAGACCCTCAATGAGATGGATTGATTCAGTGAGAGGGGTTATGGCAGAAGGTTTGTCAGACACAGTAAGAATGGCACAGGATAAAACAGGGAATAGGTTTGTTGTACAGATGGTTGCTATGAGTCACAAGCAACTTGTGAGAATTCACTTTAAAAAAGATAATTAGACTAACTGACTACATGATCAGATCAGCACAGAAAGGCATTTCACAAAATCTAATATGCTTTTATGACCATCTATTGGATTTCTGTGATGTTAGGGATTTACTATTAAAAAATGTCCTTCCTAGCCACTGATTTTGACTTTACCATGTGGATGGGCAGGAATATGTGAATAAGGTGTGTTACTGTCAAATTGGATCCAATTAGCACAGGAGGAGTCTGCCCCTCCTGCTCCAGCGGAGCATCTGGTGGATTCGAACCACACACCTTTGGGATTGCAGTGTAACTTCTTGCCACTAGGCCACCAGAGCTCTGTAAGACTTTTAGCTTTGATTCAGTGGTGTAGCAGGCCTTGCTCCATCTCACATCAGGTTGGGAGGAAGAGTTATCAACACCCTGTATTATGCAGATATGAACAAGACATGAAGCACCTGTTGCAGAAGATCAAAGACCAGATCCTTCAAAACAGATTACATCTCAGCATAAAAAAACCCAAAAATCCTCATCACTAGACCATAGGCAACATCATGATAGACAAAAGATTAAAGTTGTCAATAGCTTTGTTTTACTTGTATCCACAATCAATGTCCACAGTAGTTGCAGTCAAGAAGCCTCAAGATGTGCTGCACTGGGAAAAGTGCAGTCAAGGACCTCTGCAAAGTAGTAAAAAGTAAGGATGTGGGTTTAAAGACAAAGGTGCATGTGGTGACAAGAGTTTGTTGTATAAAATGGCTTTAAACAATGGACTGATCTGTACTGGGTAGTCTCTCACCATTAAATTAAGCAGATTCATCAGAAACAATAGGACTATCAAGACCAACAGGAAAAGGAAATATCATTCATACTTTGAGGCCAGAGATTCTTGAACCAGCCAAACCAGGATCTACCTACGAGCAATGGCAGCTGCAGCAAAGAACCAGAGACCTACCTAAGACAGAAATGACTTGAGACTGCTGCCACACAAAGCCTATGCCAGAGGCCTTCATCAAGCTTTCTGGAGGGAAGACATGATCCCATAACTGACAGAACTAAGGGAATTTCGTAACACTATCCAAACCCATGAGGCTGAAGGTAAAAAGGCCTGCAAACCATGCTTGAGAAGTTGTCTGGACTGAAGGATTATATCCTGCTGACAACTTGAATTATAGTTTAGCTTCTCTAATTTTCTCTAACTGTGAGTATGGTTCTACAGTCTGTGTGTCTAGTGAAATGGAACTCAGATTCAGTAGGACGGTAAGACTAGTTTTGGAATAAGCAGGTGCAAGAGTATGGAGACCAATACTGACCTTATAGGAATTAGTTTTGTATGGTAATGTTGTTGATGGTAAAATTCTCCTTGTGGATTTAGAAGAAGTCATACTTGGCTATCCCGTGGTCTTTGTTCTTTTTATAGTGTATCTGATCCAAGTCCTGGTATTTCATGGTATTGCAGTATAGGACAAAGTTCTGATCAATTGTTCATAGGGTCATTATGAGTCATACTTGACATTTTGTTTAGCAACAAAACCAATGCTATGTATTCCTAGCATTATTTCTTCTTGGACCATTATTGTCTGTCTTCAGTATTAGATTGAGTTTAGATGCATGTTTTGTTTTATTTTGTTGTGTGTCACCATAAAATTTCCTTTGAAATTCTAATTAAGAGCAACTCCTCATGTGTCAGATTTGAGCTGTGCTCGATAAGGTTGCCAATGGCTAAGTTTCACATACCTGATAGTTTTTTCTTGTAAGGCACCTATGTACGGATGGTTTACAATCGCCAACCTTTTGATTAGCAGCCAAGAATCTCTACTGCTTAGGGAGTCCACTGCAGTTATAAAAACCAAATGAAGTTGACTTCGATCGAGCTAAATCCGACTCACAGCTACCACATGTTACAGACTACACTTGTTCTACTGTAATCCTTTGGTTCTAATATTTATAGAAGTAAACTGCTAACCTTTCTTTCTGTGGCATTACAGGGTAAGTATAAACAACCAAAATCTATGTTATTTAGTTGACAGAAAACAGTTTGTACTCCTAGCTTTGCAAATTAGGCACTCAAATACTTGTTGTGAAAAAAAATGTTAGCAAGTAAGAGCAATGCAGATTGAAAGTATCAAAATTTTGGTTTGAGAGTTTACATTCAGAGCTTAGGTCAGTATAAACCAGACTGCATCCATAGAGTTAAAAATATTTATTTTATTAATATATGCAACAAATTACCACATATATATAAATTACTTGTGACTAGATTTATTCTACTTACTCTTTTCATCTAAAATATATACACTCATCCAATCCCTGCCATTCCCCTTCACCTTCCAAACAATGTATAAGAGTGTAAGTCATTTTTTTTTGTTTTGATGTTAGATGGAGAAGCAGCATTGCTCTTCTATGGCTGTTTTAGGACAGAAAAGAATATACAACTGAACACATAATGCATTTCTTCTTGTTGTTATTGTTTCTTACTTGAGGGAAACAAAAAATGTATCATGTTTAGCTAAACGTTTCTAAAATTTGAGTGATGCCTGAATATTGGAGATAATAGAAAGTTCAATTAAACATACAAATAATGAAAGAAAATACCTGCATCATCATGCGTCTTCTAACTGTGTCAAAGGGATATGAAAGTATTCCAGAGCAGGTAGTCACAATTTGAGCAATGAAAAAAGAAATAAGAAATGGGGTTTCCTTTGGTTTTGGTAATAATCCCTAGAAAATAAAAAAGTTATCAAGTAATCATGTAACTCCAAAAATATATTAAAATCTTAAGTCACAGATACTTTTATATGAAAAAGGATCTGTTTACTTCAACCACACAGTAAAAAGCCGGAATTAACATAGAAAGATCAAAATAACAGGTGATAAGAATAGAGAATTTCATATATGATTACACTGCAAAAGTCTATTTGCTATTTTACAAGGGGTTTGTTAATAACAGCATCCAAAAGGAATGGCAAAAACTGATCTAATTCCTCACAGTTCAAAGTAATTGGCGGGGGGTGGGGGGGGTGGAGCTTGCTTTTGTCAACAACAGATGATGTTCAAGAGTATCAGTTTTAAAGCTTTAAAGTAGTGAAGAAATTATGCTCCTAAATTTTATTATGGAGATCTGGTGACCTGGTGGCTAGATGCGGTCCTGCAAGCATGCAAGCATAAATGTTGTTAAGTGCTGTGCGGTCGCAGATGACTCATAGCGACCCTATGAACAAAAGACCTAAGCACTGTTCGTAGAGTTTCTGGAGGCAAGCCATTTCAGAAATGGATGCCACTCCTGCTTCCATGCTTGCTTTAATTGGGAAGCTCCACCAAACACTGCCCACCATGGGTAAACATTATCGCATTTGTCACATCATTGTCACAGTGTTTAGTATCACAGCAATCATGAGTTACCTTTGTACAGCAATGTACAGACCAGTGCTATACCACTTATACAATGTATCCTAAAGGTACGTGGTTCAAATCCATCAGCTGCTCTGCAGGAGAAGGATGGGTAATCTCTTCCCTTGTGATTCAAGTGCCTCTGAAAACTCTCCAGAGGGTCAGCTGTGGGTCTGTTTTGACTTTACAGTACACATCATCACCACATTTTATTAATATTGAAGGTAGGAGCCGAGAACAAGGAAAGAGAGTATACAAATTTCATGATATCCTGTAATATTTATTAACATACCTAGCTAAAAAAGAAAAACTGAAAGTAACCTATCTAAATTACAAGAAAATGACACGCAACTACATTTATACTAATGAAGGAACACAGGCATACAATAAAATCTGTGAAAGTAAAAACCTGTATAAGGAAGAAACCTACCAGAAAAGAAAAGCAAGTATTTTTCATTAAAACAAGTAACAGAAAAATAGTATAATTATATTTTGTCAAAGATGGAGAACTTACAAGACCTGGAAAAATAAGGAAATTTTACCAAGCTCTTGCAGGCTCCACTGCAATTTATAAACCTTTTATTACTTTTTCATATTTTAATTTTACTTAGTAATACCTATGTTAATAAGGACAGCAGCAAGCCACAGCAGAGAATACCAGAAGAATGTGGTTTTGTGTGTGTGTGTTTTATTGACTACACTAAGGCATTTGAATGTGTGGACCATAACAAACTGTGGCTAACTCTTGAGAAGAATGGAAATAACAGAACCCTTGACTGTGCTAATGCAAAACCTATACTTGGACAAGTCGTCAGAACAGAGCAAGGAAACACTGCATGGTTCAAAGTTGGGAAGGGTGTACACCAGGGATGTGTCCTATCTTCATACCTTTTCAATCTATATGTGGAACAGATTATCTGGGAGGCTGGGAGAAATGTATATGAAAATGTGGAAGACCCTTTAATAGATGGAATGACACAGTGACTGCAGCAATGGGTTCAAGTATGTAAGAGATGATGAGACACCGATAAGAAAGGGTTCACATCTGTTGTTCACAGAGTTGCTATACTTGACTCGTCAGCACCTAATAATAACACATAACATGGGAGATTTTCTTTAACATGAAGAGGCATGTCCTTTGAGCTAGCAGCACAATTCCTGATGGATTATGCCACCAGACTTCTCTGAACAAAGTAACAAGTTAAACCAAAGAAAGGAGAAATTTCGTATTACACTCTTTCCCTCTATATTTTATGCAAATATTACCAAGGCACTAAAATGTAGTAAAACATTTAGCATTATCCCTAAGAAGTTCTTGTGGCTTACAGAAGCTAGTAAATGCAGTAAAACACTTAGTGTTCTAGTAAATGTTTAGTAAATGTCTAATAAAACATTTAAAGTTCTAGTGGCCTAGAGAAGCTGAACCTTATGAAGAATAAGGTATCAAGATTGGAGGAAGACTCATCAAAAACCTGCATTATGCAGAAGGCACAATTTTTCTAGCTGAAAGCAAGGACTTAAAAGTGCTTGCTTCAGAAAATAAAAAACTATAGCCTTCAATATGGATTACATCTCAACATCAAGAAGACAAAAATTCCTCACTCCTGGACCAATAGGCAACATTAAGATAAAGAAAAGACTGAAACTGTCAACAACTTCACTTTACTTGGATCCCCAAGCAATACCTTTGGTACCAGCAGTCAAGAAACAAAAAGATGCATTGCATTTGGGAAGTCTGCTGTCAAGATCTCTACAAAGTAATAAAGAGTAATGACGTCAGTTTAAAGACTAAGGTGCCATGATATTTTCAGTCACTTGCTATGCTGAGAGCTGCACAATGTCTAATGATGACAGAAGAATCATTGCCTTTGAGTTGTGGTGGTGAAGTTACTGAAGATTCCATGTACTGTCAAATGAATAAACTGATAGGTTTTCTATAAGGTACAACCTGGTGGCCTAGTGGCAAGAAGCTGTGCTGCAATCCTGAAGGCCACCAGCTGCTCCACAGAAGAAGGCTAGTCATCTCCTTCTGTGCGATTAACTGCCTCTGAAAACCCGGAGGGTCAGCTCTGGAAGGTCTTGGAGAATTAGTTCCCGGAGGGTTAGTTCTGACTCTCCGGTACATAACAACAACAACAGCAACAACCACCATCGCCAGAATGTTTCTTAAGAGACAAGGTGGCAAATCTTTTCCTCATATACTTTGGACTTGATATTAGGAAGTGCCATCACTCGGACAAAGATATCATGCTTGAAAAAGTGGAGGATCAATGAAAGACTGGAGGACCCTCAACGAGATGGACTGATAAAATGACTGTAGTGATAGGATCAAGAGTGACACAGATGATGAGGATGACAAATAATAGGACAGGGTACAGACCTATTGTTCATAGGGTCTCTATGAGTCGTACTTGACCTGACAGCACCTAGCAACAACAACAGTGGTAAGGAGCTGTGCTGCCAATCCAAAGGCACACAGTTCAAACTGACCTGTTGCTCTGCAGAGAAAGATGGGCTATGTCCTCCTACATAATTTAGTTTCTGAAAACCTGTTGAAGGGTGAGCTGTGAGTTACTTCCTACAACTGCTTTTCAGAAGAAAGATGAAGCACTCTGCTATACTTTTGGAAACCCTATGGGTTCTACTCTGTCCTATTCTATCAAGTCAGCATAGATTCCAAGACAGTGATGTTTTTTATTTTCAAAAATGACTGTAAACTTATCATTTACATGTAAAAAATAACAAACAGAAAATTAGAAAAAGTGTTAAAGCATGCCTTGCTATATGTTAAAGATTCAGTTTTTATATAAGCCTAATCATTATGTCTTCCACTTGCAAAATAATTTATGATTCCTCTTTCAATGTTAACATAATAAAACATTAGTATGTATCTTTATGTCGAAAGTCAGATCCAACTGTTGTGTACTGTTGAGTCAGAAGTGACCCACAGCGGACCCTCTAGCGGGTTTTCAGAGGCAGTTAATTGCTTGGGAGAAGCTTACTTATCCTTCTCTCATGGAGCAGGTGGTGAATCTGAACTGTGTGCCTTTGGGATTGTAGCTCAGTTAAACAATGCAGTAATTAAGCAGAATTCAATGGTATTTCCCTTTTTTATATTTTTGATTTCTACTATTTTAAAGTAAGCATTTATTTACAGGTCACAGTAATTAGAAATATTTTTTTAAACTACTCATTTATTCAGTATATTAAAGCTAAACCTCTCCCTGCCCTCTTCCCCCACAAATTACCTTAATTGTGTCATAAACACCAAAATAAGAGGCTCTGTATACAATGATGCCCTGAACTGAAACACCAAATCCTTGGTATAAGCCAACAATTCCATCTGATTTTGCTATTTTTATAATACAGTCACCCAAACCCTTGAATTGCCGTTCATTAGGACCTAAAAGAAAATAGTTTAAAATATATTAGCAACATTATATAATAAATACTTTAGTGAAAATAAGTTAAACATTTTACATATTCTAATTTTCCTACATTGTTTTCTTATAATTCTCTCTAAATGAAAAAAGCACTTATTAAAATATTTTCATTCATTTAAAATAACTAAACAATTAAAATGTCAAGCCATATATTTTTTTGAAAAGTAAATGAAAATGCTAATTTCTTAAAAAGTAGTCAAGTACCATCAAAGTAACTTAAGACATTTTGATAAAATCTTCAGAGAAAGTAAGTTTTGGTTGCAGTCCAGATAAAAGACGTGTAGTCTGCTTTGTCTACATTTTCAACATTGGATAGTATGGGGTAGTAGTATTCTGTTCCATAAGGTAACCACGAGCCAATAGTTGGGTTTCACAAAACACTTAGGAATGAACAATTCTAGCATTGCCTTTACTCAAGAACATAAAAACAAAGGACTAAGACAAAGACAAATAGAAGTAAACATTTTAGATGCTGCAACATTGTTCTAGTGTTAGCTGGTTTTAGTTTTCCTTGACACAAAATTTCTTGTCAAACTTTTTAAACAGAAATACAAGCTGGATTCAGAAGACGATATGGTATGAGTGTTAACACTGCTGATGTAGAAAAAAAGGAGAATCCCCAAAGATGTTTACCTGTGTTTTATTAACTATGCAAAAGCATTTGACTATGTGGATCTTAACCAATTATGAAAAGAATACAAAGAACGGGAATTCTATTACACTTAATTATGATCATGTGGAATCTGGACACAGACCAGGAGGCAACTGTTCAACCAGAACTATAATTATAAGAATGTAGTAAGTGGCTCAAAATCCCTATCATCATCCTGAGCAGCCAAGAGGATTACTCTTCTGAACTGAAAACAAGTCTATAAATTAAATGGGGTCAACTGAGTAATCAACACAATTACTGATGATAGAATAGCATCAAGAAAAATAATTGTGAAATGTTAAGTAGTATCAGGAACAGAAAGGATCAGGAACAAGACACAGATTCAGTTGATTAAGAACAATACTGACAAGCAGAAGTAAGTAATACTTGGAAAATTGTAAGGAAAAAATGACTTTTAATCTATCTATAGCAATACAGTTTTAAAATAATTTTTTCCTCACAAAAAGAGCTTTGAGGCTATTATATAAGTAGATCTGGTGATGTAGTCCATAGCGAGTGTACTACCAACCTAAAGGTGGCACCTCTCTGTTGGTTGGAATCCATCAGGGCAATTCCCTCTCATGCAAATTACACCTTCTGCTAGAGGGCCAGCTATGAATCAGTTCCTACCTCATGGCAATGAACAACAATAGCAGCAGTAGAGACAATTCATAGCTGACCCCCCAGTTGGTTTTCTGAGGGTATAAATGACATAGGAACAAATGGCTCATCTTTCTCTCAGTAAGCCACTGAAGGATTTAAACGTCATACCTTTGAATTAGCAGCACAACTCCAAACGCTCCCCACTGGTAGTAATAGTGATTCTATGTGTCCAGATAGTGATCAACAAAGGATAAAACAGGACGTTTTAGGTATACAAGATCTCAATTTATTTCCTATTCATTGTTAGTGACCAAACAGGATAATTACAAAGATATGATAAATAAAATAAGGATAGAGGCAAAAAATAATGCCTAGCATGAGAACTGTATGCCTAAAACTAAAGGATATCATCAGTTGATAAAGAAGTAAATACACAGACGTAAGGGATGACTCTCTAGGAAAAAAGAAAATAGAGTAAGAATAATCTGTGTTTGTAAAGCTCCAACATATGGTTTTAATTTGCCAATTGCACCATGGGAGAAGAATGGACAATCTCTCTCATGTGACTGAATGCTCTGAACACCGATAAAAGGTCAGGTATTGGTTGGTTCAGACTTGACAGCACACTACTATACTACTACTTCTGGCCTTTTAAGAGAAAAAGAAAAAAAGTAGTATACATTAGGTCCCATGAATAACACGTGGTTGAAAATAAAAAGTTTAGACTTTACTTATTAACACAGTTTTTATTTGATAACTCTACTACAATAAATGGCTCAAAACACAAAGAAGGTATTTTTAAAAATCTCTTTACCTTTTCCAATGTCAGCACCTAATCGAGTTCGGGCAAAATCTAGTGGATATACTACACACAAGGATGTTGCCCCAGCAGCTCCACCAGCAGCCAGGTTTGCAAAAAACCACCTCCAAAACTGAAACATATTATTAACGAAAAAGTGGTTATTAAACTACAAAATTGGACTTTAAGACAGCTGGAAAATTTGTCTATCTACAGAGGTTTAAAAAAGCACCAGACTTAAAACTACTTTTATCTAGAATACATACTTGTAAAAAGAATGTGACTGGACCTCTATTAATTCCATAAAGAGGAACAGTTCCCATCAATTACAGCACAATACCAATTCTGATGGGGTCAGATATTCGCTCATGAGGTTCTCCAAACCTACTTCTAGTGATTTTAACATTAACCACACCAACTTGCTGTTCTACCAAGTCCAAAATCCACTGCAAGGCCACAGAGAAACATACTCACTGTTACAGGGCTTATTAGGGAAGTTACTAAGATATACTTTAGATTGAAAATAGGATGCAATTAGAAAGGACTTAACAAGTGTGCTTGTAGGCTCTGTAACTTTAAGCTTCTTGTTTTGGAGGTCACTGTTACAAAGCTCTCTTGTTGTTATGATGTGCCACTGAGTCAGAAATGACTCATAGCTGAACCTCCAGTGGGTTTTCAGAGGCAGTTAACTGCACTGGAGGAGACTGTCCATTCTTCTCCCATGAAGCAGTTGGTAGATTTTAACTTCAGGCATTCAGGATTACAGTGCAGCTTCTTACCACTAAGCTACCAGAGCTCCCTTAGTTCTGCCACTTATGGAGTCTCCACACCATGGAGTAAGCATGAGTGAAGGCTCCTGGCTCTGGCTCCAGAGGACAGCAATTCCATTTCATCTCCCTCTCACTTTGGTTGCTGTCTTTGCCTAGGTAATTGTTAGAATGGTAAAGGAAATCTCTGGCCCTGAAGGACACAAACTGCAGTCTATTCTTTTATGCTCACAGATTCTACTGCTAAACCTACTTAATTTAAACCAGGTGGGATGGCAAAATTGATCAGTTTTATCATGAGTTGTTTCCATGACAGGTTTGCATATTCTCATCCAATCATGTGGTGGAAATCAAAGCTAACGGACTAGAAAAATAATTCTGAAAAATCAGCCTACAACACAATATTATCCTTTCATGAAAAAGGAATTTAAAAAGCCATAGTTTTAAAAAAGAAAACATGTTGTTATGTGCCGCCAACTCACAGTGATCTTATGCACAACAGTTCTTAACCCTGCTGTATCCCGAGTCTATCTCACTGTCTCTGACACACCTACCCTCATTATTTCAGTTAGTTTTTTCCAATTCATTTCATCTGGAATCTTCTCTTGTGCTGTTCCTCAACATATCCAAACATGATATACTTCTCCAAAGGTTGGTGCCTCCTGGCTACATGCCCAAAATTTTTGCCTCCAAGGAGCGCTTGGCTTCACCTTCTCCAAGACAGACCTGTTAGTTCTCTTGGAAGGCCATAGTATTTATTAAGGTTTTAAATTATCAGATAGAAACCTTCCTTTTACCAATGTATTCTCCAGTGACGTACTATTATATCAATCAGTAAATACTAAACATCTTTAACGAGAAGGATGTTTTTATTTTTATATGGTGAGAAACTCCAAATACTTCTCTTCACATCCATGTAACTTTTGTTTCACATTAAACATATGTATGATATAGTCTAGATATGTTATAACAAAATTCCAAGATATTTCCATGATCTCTGTGCTTTAATACTTGTTTTGAGGGGCTGTCAAGTCAATTAAGACTCAAGGATAACCTGAGAACAATAAATCTGAACCTTGCCATATTTTGCACCATCCTCTCAAGATCTGTCATGTTCAAGTTGATGGTGGTAGTTACTGTGTCAATTCATCTACCTTTTCTAGCACGCTGTATTTTTCAAGGATTTACTTTTGCTGACAACATGCCCAAAGTATGTGAGAAAAAGATGCACTATCTTTGCCTCTAAGGAGCATCCTGGTTGAAATTCCTTCAAGACAGATTCATTTGTTCTTTCTGCACTACTCTTCTTCAACACCACAATTCAAAGACATTGATTTTTCTTTTGTCATCCTTATCCACTGTCCAACTTTCAAATGCATACATTGCAAGTAATTGAAAAGAATATGGTGTACCTTAAACTGACAAACCTGCTTTATGACTTTGACTAGGTCCTTGACAACAGATTTTCCAAATGCAATACATCTTTTGACTTCTTGACTGCCAATATCACAGGTGTCGACTGTGAATCCCAGTAAAATGAAATGTTTGAAACTTTTAGCTTTTTCTCCATCATGATGTTGCCTATTGGTCCAGTGGTGAGAATTTTTTTCTTGATGTTGAGATGTAACTCATATTGATGACAGTCTTTGATCTTCAGTAAGGGCTTCAAGTATTCGTAACACTCTGCAAGCAAGGTTGTGCCATTTGCATTATGCTTCTTATTACAATTCTTCCTCTAATCCTAATGCCATATTTTCCTTCACAAGTATTGAGAAAGACTGTAATTCTGATACACACCCTTTATGATTTTGAAGCATGCAATGTTCCCTAGTTTTGTTCAGACAAATGTCTCCTAGCCCATGTATGTGTCTTATAAAAGTACAATTAAGTTTTCTGGGATACTCAGTCTTCTCAATATTAGCCATAATTTACTATGATCCACAAAATTTTTATTTACTTAATCTTCTGATCAGAAGTCTCTATAGCTAACTCTCCAAATTAAATCTTCTGATTGTAAGTGTCAAGGGTTTTTTTAGTTAGCTTGTGGATCTTTCATGTATATAGAAGAATCCAAAGTAATCAATTAACATTTTAAAATAATTGTTGTTGTTGTTGTCGTTATGTGCCGTCGAGTCGCCTGCGACTCATAGCGACCCTATGTACAACAGCCCTAAACTCCGCTCTGTCCTGTGCTAATCGCACTGTCTCCGACACTCCCATCCCAATTATCCCAGTCACTCAATCAATCCACCTCATAGAGGGCCTTCCTCTCCTGCGCCGTCCCTCCA